CAAACACCGACTTTATACGTTGTTCAATTCGAATGACTCTCTGAATAACCAATAAATTTGTCCCATCCCTAACAATTGAGAGTATTTATCGAAAATAAATTAATTTTGACAGTTTGAAAATATTTATGAAATTTTCAAACTTTTTCAGTAAAATTGAAAATCATGAATGAAAAATAAAAAATTGTATAGTTTTTATATATGCAACAAGATGTAAATTTTGTTTTCTACATAATGCAATATGCATTTCTTTTCCCTTGGTTCTAATTAGCGTACAAAACAAGAAACAAATGTGGGGCAACTCAAACAAAAAATTTTCCAAATTTTTATTTGTGACAGTATGTGACATTTGAATTGAGAAAATATAAAAATGTATTAAAAACAACAACATTTTCAGAAAAAATGGAAAACATGAATGAAAAGTAAATAGATATGGGTTCAAACTATAGTCAGGAGAAAGAGAATTATTTTTTCTATTTAGATCCCTATGTAATTCACTAAATATGTTACATTTTTGTTGTAAAACAAGAAACAAAAAGTTTGAAATAAAAACTCTGATGATTAAACATGTACATAGAATTATTTTTCAGTCGATTTATGCATATCCCTCCATCCATGTATTATTTTAACCCCTTGAGCGCCGAATTTTTTTCCGTAATCATAGAACAATTTTCTGTTCACAGATTTAATGCATCTATCCTAGATAGGATATGGACAAAATTTGAGATCGCTACATCCTTGCATTCGGTAGATACAGTACATTCTTTCTGAAAAATGAAAGCCCAATATCAAGAAAACCAAATGAAAAACCGACGAAAAAAAATCATTTTAAATTATTCTCTATATTCATTTTTACAAGAATCAAAAATAATTCTGATGGCAGAATTTGTACATTTCGAATGCGAAGCTATTTAAATAATTTGGACTGTGTACACAAATTAGTACTGTACACATTTTTGCCCTCTTCTCTACATTGAAAAGCTCATAACTTTACCAAAAATTTGAATTTTTTTGATTTTTCTTTTGATATGTGTCGTCGATAATCAGGTCTTGACGTATGAAATACAAAGAATATATATCTACTAGCTACATATGAAATATAATATTTTTCTTTATTTACACTTTATTTTGCATTACATATTGTATAGATTCAAGAATGATGTATTCTGTCCTTGTCCGGTCATGTTTTTTTTTTTTTAATTTCTTAAAAGAAAAAGATTTCTTCGTCATAGTTTTTGTTGACGACTGAAGCGTTTGAACATTTTTTTTAGAAATTAAAAATAAAAACATGACCGGACAAGAAAAGGATACATCATTCTAGAATCTATTCAATACTTAATGCAAAATAAAGTGTAAATAAAGAAAACTATATGCGATCTATATATAAATCTGAACCATTTTGACCAATGTAGAAGGACTCGTCTATGTGGTACCAAGACATAATGCCCTGTGCCACAGTGCGGTGAAGGATACAAACAATTTTTACCAAAAATGCAACAAAATAAACAGCTGACCACATTTTTAGAGATGTGTCTTTGTTTTTATTGATATTATCGATAATGGTGTTTTTACACGATATGTATTTTACATATGTGCTGTAACTTATTTCATCCATATGTAATTCCTTATGTGTGTCAAAATTAGCAGCGTACACAAAACATTTATTTTTGTGTTCAAATCGACATATGTATTTTACATATGACATAACCTATAAACAAAAAAAAACACTTTTATTTTTTCTTAAATCAACATCATTTGTTTATTAAACACCTACAAACGAAATAATAATTTGTAATTGTTGCCTTTTCATCCTTTTCTTTGACTTGCAATTGAAATATTTTCTTCCAACAATAGGTTCGTTCGTTTACTTTCCCAGTAATATTTACTCAGTAAGAATTTGCAGAGAGTAAATACGATTTTTTCCTTTTCAAGAGAGAAAACTGCAAAAAGTAAACGAACAACATCCAGTAAAAAGATTGTTTCGAAACAGCTGATTAAAACAACAAACAAAATGGCGCGAACTAAAAACAGCATTTTTATTAGAAAAATGGATAACAAGCGGAAAACTGATGTTGTTTGTTCCCCACAAACATTTAAAAGGGTTGTGACCTGTTATTCCTGTATCTGCAATTGATATTGGGGTGGACATAACCGATGGTGTTCCAGACATGTTAGGGATGCACACTTTTTTGTTTGGATTTGGAACCTAAAAAATCGTTCGACAATCACTCTTGTATTACCTTATTTTTAAATACTTGCGTTTTCTTCATCCATTTTGGTATTTAATGATACAAAATCAAAATAAAATTCACAAAACAATCAATTTTCTTGAGAACAATTTTTTGTTTGTTTGCAAAACATAACAAAACAGCTGATTAAATATCAGCTGATGGTACAACAAAATTCTTACTGAGTAAATTTTCCTTGTAAGAATTTGCAAATACTCAGTAACACAACTGTCAAATCTGCTCTCTCAATTCACTCTCTTTTACTGGACTTTTGGGTAAACGAACAACATTTTGTAATAATTTGTACAAATTCGTACAAATTATTCGGTAAACGAACGAACCTAATGTGTTTCATTCAAACAGCTGATTTCCTTATGTTTCACATACGAAAATAGAGCTCGTCCTATTCGGAAAAAATACATATGTAATTGCATATCGTTTTGACACATTGAAATTTCCGTATGTTTTACATGACGAGTTCGATTTCCATATGTAAAAAAGTGACAGCACATATGTAAAATACATATCGTGTAAAAACACCATAAATAGTCGACATCGTCGCATGAGTGTTACAGAATACCAAATCAGTGTCGAAGTGATGTCGATGCGAAGTGATGTCGAAAGAGAATCGTCGTCGACAACGACATACGGAATAGGGGTGATTGAGTAATCGAATGGAGTTGGAATCTTTATGAATTGCTGTAGGAGTGCTTTATGTAGGAGTAAGATTTGTAAATTAGTTCTGTAAGTGCAAATGGTACTAAAATGTACTAACTTTAGTAGTTAATGAATCAAAGTAGACTTTAGAAGGAAGATAGCTGTAATTGTGTAAAGATAACCTATCTTCCAAAGCGAACATATTTGAGCACGACATTCTGAATTCATTGCATGAATTGTGGTAGTATGAAATTTGGTTTTGGATATTAGTAATATAATATACTAAAATAAGTATATTTTGAATATCAATTAGAGAATCTTGAAATTTGGTACATGATTCAGTTATACTTAGGAAGGCACTTTCGGATAAACGTACTACACGTATACTAAAAGTCAATACTAAAGTCGGCTAATAACTTTAGGGAACAACATTTTGTACAAAATGCCTAGATATAGAATTTTGAAATTAAGTATGTAAAACGTCGTTGCTTTTTCGGGTTGATACTTGTCTCAATCTTACTTTTGAAATTTTGTACTATTATTTTATTTAGTACATTAGAATCTTAATAGTAATATGGACATTTATGTACAGTGTTTAGGTTTTGGTGGATTTTCTTATTGTAGCCATGTGTGTACCAAAGTAATACATTTAATGGTGAATAAATGCAACTTGAACTTTGGTAGGTGGACCGCAATTATTTATTGTATTGAAAAGATGGTACACTTGGAATGCTAATGTAGATTGGTATGGCGATTGTCATTAGCATAGAGGGTTGAAATAAGTTCAGAGAGAACTGAAATTCGGTATAAGGGTCCCTATTTGTGTGTTGGATTATTCGTACTATAAATGAAAAAAGTAACCTAAATGAAAATTTTGCATTAAAATAAAAATTTTAAAATTGAGCACATGTAATAAGTTATTGTGCAAACAATAACGTATAATACTTAAGTCAGAAGCGTCGGAAACCCAACCAAAAACATTGGTTTTTTGACAAAATAGCTGTTTCTATTTATCGATTTGGAAATAACGTATGCTTAAATCCATATCAAATTTCAATTTTTTATTTTCAAAAAAGTTTAGAATTTTTTATCAGTTCTAGTTAAGAATAGCCAGATATAATATATAAGAACGAATAAGAAAATAAAATCCAATTGTTATGTTTTTTTTTTGTTCCTTTTTTAATTTTTCTTACCAATTTTAAAATTTTAAGTAAATTTGTAGTCACGTTTTTTAGAATTGTTCGTTAAACGATTATCAATTTTTTCAATAAAGTAAATGTGTCCATCTTTCCATTATTGCATTGTGTAAACTGCCTTTATATTTTATACAATCATTTGCAATTTTCAAATTAAGAAAACAAATATGTTTTTTTGTAATTTTGAAATAAAAACAAATATTATTTTTTTTATAAATTATATTGAGTCAAATTACAAATCACTTAACACTTATTTGTATGTGTATGTTTTCCTTTTTTTTAAATATTTATAAAATGTAGAATTAAGAAAAAGAAAACAAATAATAAAATATGTAAAAATATAGTGGGAAAGTATTGTTTGTAAATGCCTTGTTAACCTCGAAGTGAGGCATCAGCAAAATTCTCATGCAGTTTATGTCGTTGGTCAGCTAAGTACTTCGCTTTGTTACAAGAGACATTTGGGTATGAAAGGTTTTTTGTACAGAAGCAATAGCTTCTGGGAAGGATATCCCAAAAAACTAAGGGAAATGATGAGAATCAGTGGCGTGATTCGAAACTATAGTCTTCCCTGCCTTACCCCTCGGCAAACAATGCCACTAATAAATAGTTTCATTTCATTTATTTCACACAATGTAATATAAAAAAGCCAGCATGGCCAATAACTTATATTAACTTATATAAAAAAAAAAATAAAAATCCAAACAAAGAATAAACTAAATAAATTAAAAATAAATAACAGTAAAAAAATCTACAAAATGCAAAATGCTAATGCAAACAACTAACATAACAGACTCCAAACAAGGCCAATAATTAGAACCACAGACATTAAATTTCATATGTATAAATCTATAACATAAATGCTAACGAACTTAAATAAAAATGGCTCCCCAGCCAAGAATTAAAAAAAAAACAAAGTAACATTATGCAACCTGTAATCAGCGATTTCTTCAAAGCCAACTTCATCAAATACGCAAAAGTGGAAGAGGTAAACTTACGAAGGCTCAAAGGGAGCTGATTCCACGATCTTACGACTCTAACTACAAATGATATTTCACAAATTGCAGACGAAAACCTCGGATACAACAACTGAGGGTTCCGAGAGGATCTACACATCACAAACCTACTACACTGTGGTAAATCAACATTTCTCATAATTCTATAATAACACAAAAGGATACGATATTCAACATAATTATAAAAGGATAGGCCAAGAAATTTAACAACAAATTGGGAAACATGATGACTACGACCCAAACCATATACATAACGAACAATGGAGTTAACAACCTTTTGAAGCCGATGCAAATGACCAGAATTAGAGCCCGAAATAACTTCCAAACAATAGTTAACCTGAGACATCAACAACGACATAGCCACCTTCACCCTAAAGCCAAGAGGCAAATATGCTTGGACACTATAAAGCCTCCTCCTGACAGTTCAAATGGGCATACGTAAGCTTACCACCACCACAATGAATGTTCTGCCTAAAGAATTGAGCATCGCTAATTACAGGCCCTAGATTCACATCAGGGCATATAAAAATTAAATCAGAGACTGGGGAGCATAATTATTAAAGTTCGATTAAACATCGAGGTCCAACTATTAGGCCCACTGTCCCGAAATTCCAAAACCTGGGACTAAGCGAGTACCCGCGATTGAAAGATCACTCCTTGGGCTTTCAGAAAATATATAGTTTGTATCCGAAATCAATTTCGGATATAATAAATTGTTTGACTTTATTTAAATTGTAAATTTTCTGGTAATTGATATGGTCCAAGTGTTAGGCCCACTGTCCGAAAATTTCAAAACCTGGGACTAAGCGAATACCCACGATGGAAAGGTCAGTCCATGGGCTTTCAGAATATATATAGTTTATATCCGAAATCAATTTCGGATATTGAAAATTTTTCCAATTTTTTTTCTGAATATGTATAATTTATATCCGAAATCAGTTTCGTATATTTTTTTTTATTTTATTTATATTGTAAAATTTCTGTAAAACAGGTAAAAATTGTATCATTTTATCTTCAGAAGTCATTCAAATCCACAGAACGTTTTTGGTACCTGTTTTTTTGGTGTACTATTGACACATTATGAGTTTTACAATACTTTGCAATAAAATGTCAAAGAATTTTTCGAATGAAGATATTTTTATGACTTTTTCTCTTTGCATTCATAAATCGCAATAAATGTGTCTAAAATTTTGTAAAGAAATACCCACACCAATAAAAATTAGCCTTCCTTTTAAAGCCCTTTTTATAAAAAAAAATAAAAAAATTAGGTAAAAATCGCCAACCGGGTTTGAACCGCGTGCCCCATGTTTCATAAAGTGAGTGCGCAACCGCATGAACTACAGTTGTAATCTGTGAGATGACAGCGATTGTATGTACTTTATGCTAGTTCAGTTTCATTGCTTAGAGACTTCTATATTCGCGCTATTTTATATTTTTTTGAAATGCAATTTTTCCAATGAAAATGCGTATACCCAAATAAACATATTAACAGAAATTTGTTAGGAAATCGTGATACCTTCAGCTTTTAAGAAGATTTCGTGAACATGACCCTTTTAAATTCCTCAGAATAGATTTAAACATTATTGAAATTGTTTTATTTATGTCTTGCATTGAATAGGATATTTATTATTGTTATTTAAGAAGGATGATATTTGACATTCTATTTCTCCCATTTACATACATATATGATTTTTGCTTTTATTATATGTTTTATTTAAGGATATAAAAATGTTGAAAATTTTGGAAAAAACATTTTTTTGCTTCAACGTGTACTTTTTTTTTAAAAAACGCGCTTTATTTTTCACATGTTTGTCAATGTGTGATTCACTGATCTTTTAATTATGCTGTCGAGCGCGTGTTACACACACACACACACACACACAAACAAACAAAAAACGCTTACTGTGTTAGGGTGGTTTTGTAGCAGAAAAATTTAACGTTCTGCAATTGTGTTGTTGTATTGCGGCGACAAGCAAAATGATCTCATTTGCACAACGTCGAAATAAGTTTCACGTTCATACACACAGAAATACACTGATTTGCCACATGTTAAAAGTTGTCTTCGGTGGTCGAAGTGGTAAGCCGGTTTTTGTAGCTTTTTATTTTTCTTTAGTTATATTAAAAAAAATATTCGAAATAAACAATAATGATAATTATAAGAATTTTAAAAAGCGTTTTAAAAAATTAAAAAAGTAGTGTTGGCGGGTTATTTGGAATACCATTTGTATTTTGTTTTTTTTTTTTTGCAAAATAGTCAGGCTGAATTCCAGTTTGTTGTTTTTATAAAAAAAAACAACTATTTCGTTCACCGAGGGTTAAGAGAGTTTCAGCCTGACTATTTTGCAAAAAAAAACAAAATACAAGTGGTATCCCAAATAACCCGCCAACACTACTTTTTTAATTTTTTAAAACGCTTTTTAAAATTCTTATAATTATCATTATTGTTTATTTCGAATATTTTTTTTAATATAACTAAGGAAAAATAAAAAGCTAAAAAAGAAGGTTTAAAGCGGATAAAACATCAAATTTCAAAAATTAAGTTGTCAAATAAATTAAAACGACAGCCGTGGGGTTTGAACCTACGACCTTATTGTAAAACGCACCCATATAAGACAGCAACCGGCTTACCACTTCGACCACCGAAGACAACTTTTAACGTGTGGCAAACAGTGTTCGCAAAAAAACGGTACACTATCGTAGTGTACCGTACCAGGAACAAAAACACTAAAAAAATTTTAGCGTTTGTGTTGCGGTACACAAACATTAAAAAATATTTTAGTGTTACTGTTCCGGAGCACAACGAAATTCGTAGTGTACCGCTGTCGGAGCACTAAAAATCGTAGTGTACCGCGGTCGGAGCACTAAAAATCGTAGTGTACCGCGGTCGGAACACTAAAAAATCGTAGCGTACCGCGGTCGGAACACTAAAAATCGTAGTGTTCCACTGGTCGGAACACTAAAAATCGTAGTGTTCCATTTGGCGGAACACTAAAAATCGTAGTGTTCCACTTGACGGAACACTTAAAATCGTAGTGTTCCATTTGTCGGAACACAAAAAGATGTATTTGTTATATTTTATTTTTTTATGAATAAAATTTATATTTTTATTGTTTTCCAATAGATTTAATAAATATAAAACTTTTTTATTTTTTTATATATTTGATTAAAAATTAGTAATATTTTATTAGCATCAACCGTTTAACATAATAAATATTTTATAACTAAAAAAGGTCGTCTAGTGAAAATTCAATCAGATGCCAACTCGCAACTGAAAATTCCATAATCGATTGTGCTGATCGGAAAAATGTATTGCATAAGACTACCTGTGCAAAAATCATAAAAAGGAAGAATATTTCAATAATGGATATGTATATGAAATTCGTTGTTGATATGGTACCTGTGTGTGGTTTTGTAATATTTATCCCAAAATCATAAAAATATGTTTTCCATATCCGTGTAATTTGTACACTTCTTTTAATGAATAAACAGGTAATTATTATGTTGATTGTGTGACAATCACCAAATTTTGAATATTTTTGCTAAAATTTCCTAAAAGTATGAATCATAGATGGATGCAGGTATAATTGTTTTAAGAAATAATGTTTTCGTACTAACATTTTACAAGGAGATCTCCCAATATTATGGGAAAAATCATGTTCGTTGTGTAAATCAATGAACATTTTATCCAAAGCTGAATAATTTTGTCACAAAATCTGGCCAAAATACCTATTTCTGATGGACATTCTCACTTTTGTAATTGCAAATAAAGTTATATTCAGTTTTATTTTTTTATTATTTTATCTCATTTTACCTCATTTTTAAAAACAGACGTGTATGGTACACTACCAATACAGTTCAAGTAAGTGGAACGCTACGATTTTTATTGTTCCGACCAGTGGAACACCAACATTTTTAGTGTTCCGACCAGTGGAACACAATGATTTTTAATGTACCGCAGTCGGTACACTACAATTTTTAGTGTACCACTGCCGGAACACTACGGTTTTTAGTGTACCGCTGTCGGTACACTACGATTTTTTAGTGTACCGCAGCAGGTACGCTAAGATTTTCGTTGTGCTCCGGAACAGTAACGCTAAAAATATTTTTAGTGTTTGTGTACCGGTACAGTACGTTATTTTAGTGTACCTATCCACCTTGGTACGGTACAGAACACTATGGAACGGTACCATAATGTTTATTTTCGAACGCTGGTGGCAAATCAGTGTATTTCTGTGTGTATGAACGTGAAACTTATTTCGACGTTGTGCAAATGAGATCATTTTGCTTGTCGCCGCAATACAACAACACAATTGCAGAACGTTAAATTTTTCTGCTACAAAACCACCCTAACACAGTAAGCGTTTTTTGTTTGTTTGTGTGTGTAACACGCGCTCGACAGCATAATTAAAAGATCAGTGAATCACACATTGACAAACATGTGAAAAATAAAGCGCGTTTTTTAAAAAAAAGTACACGTTGAAGCAAAAAAATGTTTTTTCCAAAATTTTCAACATTTTTATATCCTTAAATAAAACATATAATAAAAGCAAAAATCATATATGTATGTAAATGGGAGAAATAGAATGTCAAATATCATCCTTCTTAAATAACAATAAAAAATATCCTATTCAATGCAAGACATAAATAAAACAATTTCAATAATGTTTAAATCTATTCTGAGGAATTTAAAAGGGTCATGTTCACGAAATCTTCTTAAAAGGTGAAGGTGTCACGATTTCCTAACAAATTTCTGTTAATATGTTTATTTGGGTATACGCATTTTCATTGGAAAATTGCATTTCAAAAAAATATAAAATAGCGCGAATATAGAAGTCTCTAAGCAATGAAACTGAACTAGCATAAAGTACATACAATCGCTGTCATCTCACAGATTACAACTGTAGTTCATACGGTTGCGCACTCACTTTATGAAACATGGGGCACGCTGTTCAAACCCGGTTGGCGATTTTTACCTAATTTTTTTATTTTTTTTTTTTATAAAAAGGGCTTTAAAAGAAAGGCTAATTTTTATTGGTGTGGGTATTTCTTTACAAAATTTTAGACACATTTATTGCGATTTATGAATGCAAAGAGAAAAAGTCATAAAAATATCTTCATTCGAAAAATTCTTTGACATTTTATTGCAAAGTATTGTAAAACTCATAATGTGTCAATAGTACACCAAAAAAACAGGTACCAAAAACGTTCTGTGGATTTGAATGACTTCTGAAGATAAAATGATACAATTTTTACATATTTTACAGAAATTTTACAATATAAATAAAATAAAAAAAAATATACGAAACTGATTTCGGATATAAATTATACATATTCAGAAAAAAAATTGGAAAAATTTTCAATATCCGAAATTGATTTCGGATATAAACTATATATATTCTGAAAGTACATGGACTGACCTTTCTATCGTGGGTATTCGCTTAGTCCCAGGTTTTGAAATTTTCGGACAGTGGGCCTAACACTTGGACCATATCAATTACCAGAAAATTTACAATTTAAATAAAGTCAAACAATTTATTATATCCGAAATTGATTTCGGATACAAACTATATATTTTCTGAAAGCCCAAGGAGTGATCTTTCAATCGCGGGTACTCGCTTAGTCCCAGGTTTTGGAATTTCGGGACAGTGGGCCTAATAGTTGGACCATATCAATTACCAGAGCTACTGTTAAATTGTACAATTTTAAAAAAGTCGAAAAATTTATTATATCCGAAATTGATTTCGGATATAAACTATATATATTCTGAAAGTACATGGACTGACCTTTCTATCGTGGGTATTCGCTTAGTCCCAGGTTTTGAAATTTTCGGACAGTGGGCCTAACACTTGGACCATATCAATTACCAGAAAATTTACAATTTAAATAAAGTCAAACAATTTATTATATCCGAAATTGATTTCGGATACAAACTATATATTTTCTGAAAGCCCAAGGAGTGATCTTTCAATCGCGGGTACTCGCTTAGTCCCAGGTTTTGGAATTTCGGGACAGTGGGCCTAATAGTTGGACCATATCAATTACCAGAGCTACTGTTAAATTGTACAATTTTAAAAAAAGTCGAAAAATTTATTATATCCGAAATTGATTTCGGATATAAACTATATATATTCTGAAAGTACATGGACTGACCTTTCTATCGTGGGTATTCGCTTAGTCCCAGGTTTTGAAATTTTCGGACAGTGGGCCTAACACTTGGACCATATCAATTACCAGAAAATTTACAATTTAAATAAAGTCAAACAATTTATTATATCCGAAATTGATTTCGGATACAAACTATATATTTTCTGAAAGCCCAAGGAGTGATCTTTCAATCGCGGGTACTCGCTTAGTCCCAGGTTTTGGAATTTCGGGACAGTGGGCCTAATAGTTGGACCATATCAATTACCAGAGCTACTGTTAAATTGTACAATTTTAAAAAAAGTCGAAAAATTTATTATATCCGAAATTGATTTCGGATATAAACTATATATATTCTGAAAGCCCATGGACTGACCTTTCCATCGTGGGTATTCGCTTAGTCCCAGGTTTTGAAATTTTCGGACAGTGGGCCTAATTGCAAATTCCTACAGTGTTGCTGCATGTGCAGTAATTTTTATGTTTTATTGAATTGGGGTAGCACATTTGGTAATTTTGTCCTAATCCTACTTATTTTTATTAATTTTAAATAAAAATAATCGTAAAATCTATTAAATTTGATTATTTTTCAATTCTGTTAACCTTTTACAATTTAACTTTCAACAATTTATCTTCACGCTCATGTTTTCGTTCCATCAGGAAGAAGGCTGGTCACCGTTAAGCAGCTTAAATTTTCTATTATGTTCCTTTTAAGCAAATCTCTACAGGCATAGATAAGTTTGGAGGTCGACTTAATTAAGTGATCATTTATAAACACTCGAGACTCCACAATGCAATTCTCAATTACTTCCTTCAGAAGAATTCGACCCCTGTACAGAGTTAAATTTCACCAACACCGCTCTACGGTCAGATATGTAACAACAGTGCTGCAAATCTCTAGGCACCAGCTGCATCCCACAAACCTTAGCAATTTTTACAGTTAGCGCTCTAAGGTCTTTTATATTGTCCGGCAGTCCTCTAATAATGACATTCAACCGATTCAGTCTGCGCTGGAGCATAGCATTATATAATTCCAATTCATGGACTCTATCTATTAACTTCTTTTCCACACTAATAGCAGTGTTTTTCATTTCACTGACAGTTAACTTCAGATCACAAACGGACTGCTTCAGCTCAGTGATATTGCTCTTCACCGCAGAAAATTCAGCACTGTACAATTCAAAAAGAGCATCTTTTTGGGATTTAAACTCCTGCATACACTGTGCCATGTAAGCATCGATCTTTAGCTTCATGGTAGATAAATATCATTCTGCAAACTACGTGAGATAAAAACAACAAACTGGGATTCAGCCTAACTATTTTGCAAAAAAAAAAAAAAAAATATACAAATTGTATCCCAAATAAACCGCCAACACTACTGAATATGCAAAAATAATGTATGGTCCTGAAAATAACTGGCGAAAGAACTGTTGAATTCCATAGTCACAAAATTGATGGTAGTGGAATACTTAAATCCGATAAACATGTCGGGCACTTTTGAATGACACTTTTGCCCAAATTTGGCTTGTTTGTCATTCATATTCATGTTTGTTGGACAGTCAGTAATCGATAAAAAAAAGCTGTTACTCAAGAGTGCTTGTGTGTACAGGTATTTCGCAGAGTTTAAAGAATATCTTACCATCGTGGGTGTCAAATACCATAAACTCATATCATGCTTCTTCTAAAGAACAGGGATCTGATAGCATCGCTAATGTTGACATTTGTAACATATGACAATCATAGTTATATGTCATAATTCTTTTCAGTCTTTTCTTGTACAAACAAGTTCATTCTAAGTAAACTTTTAGATATAGTATTAACACATTGCTTTATCAATACATAAAAGACGTATTATATTGAGCAATACGAATGTCCTAAAAAATTTGACGATCTACTTCTAGCATATGTAGTAAATTTTACCATAATTATAATGATGAAACACACAGATAAACGTTGCTTTCCGGATCAGCTAGATATATAAAAGTACAGATGGTATAATAATCGGCGTTCGAAAATAAACATTATGGTAATGCCTTATTGTTCTATACCGTACCAAGGTGGATGGGTACACTAAAATAACGTATTGTACCGGTACACAAACACTAAAAATATTTTTAGCGTTACTGTTCCGAAGCTCAACGAAAATCGTAGGATCCCACAACTTGGTATACCAAAAATCGTAGCGTACCGGCTGCGGTACACAAAAATCGTAGTATACTGATTAATTAAAAATCATTGTGTTCCGCTGGTCGGAACACTAAAAATTTTAGTGTTCCACTTGCCGAAACACTAAAAATAGTAGTGTTTCAATTGGCGGAACACTAAGAATCATAGTTTTCCTCTTGCCGGTACACTTCAACTTGTCGGTGCACAAAAAATTTATTTTATTTACTTTTATTTTCTGTATGAAGAAATTTTTATATTATTACACTACGATTTGTACGATAACTAGCGTGGCAACAGGTGGTGTTGTAGAACAAGCGATCCTAATGTACCCAAAAACTCAATTCACTTTCTATTATATTGTTTGTAAAAAATAACTCAACAAACCGCCAGACACTTGCAATTACTTATTATCATTAAACCATGATTAAAAATAACTAACTATTATAATAGCTTGAATTTTCGCAGGAAATGTTTAAGATATTTTATATATCATTATTTCTAATTTCAGAGTACAGTATGAGAATTGCCCAAATAGATGGACTTTTCACCCAACCGCCTTGGTTAAAGTTGTGTCATTTCGTGTTGGAGATTTAGTTACTATAATAAATGATGCAGCAAAAGTACAACAACTTCAGAAGGGACATGGGGAATGGATAGAACTTATGCGATATGTATGAATATTTTTGTTAAGATAAGTCATATTAGTGATTAATCATATTTTCAGGCACTTGGGAAGCTTTGCAAGGTTGTTAAAGTTTATTCAGATGGTGACCTACGTCTGGAACAATTGGATGATGGGTTCGAATGGACACTTAATCCAAAATGTGTCAAGCTAGAAAGGTCTCCAATAGCAACGGCCGCTGAAAGGTCAAATAGTATGATGGATTTAAGCAATAGACGAACGGATCATGTAATGACTCCTTTATCTGGTCTGTCGGGGACATCTATGGCAGATAAACTGGTGCGGGAAGCGGCTCATGGCCACTTCGACTTTGTAAAGCAATATCTTGATAGTCATCCAGATCACGTGAATGTAATGAGTGGAGGCAAGGCGTCCATTCAGGTAGCAGCCCATCAAGGATTTGTTGAAATTGTAAAATTATTAATTTCAAAAGGAGCTAATGTTAATATAGTCGATAAAGAAGGGGACTCTGCGTTACATTACGCAGCTTTTGGAAATCAGCCAGAAACAATGCGCATTTTGCTCCAAAATGGCGCGGATAAAAATTTTCTTAACTCCAGTCATTGTACCGCACTTCATATTTGTGCTCACAAAAAAACGCCACACTGTGTTCGAGAATTATTGAATCACAATGTCAACGTAAACATACAGGACTCATATGGGGATACGGCGCTTCACGATGCTATAGGAAAAGAAAATTCAGAGGTGGTGGAAATATTATGTAATGCGCCAAATTTAGACTTTACTGTTAAAAACAATAGAGGATTTAATGTACTACATCATGCTGCGCTTAAAGGTAATGTTGTGGCCACTCGTCGCATCCTGCAATTGGCTCGGCAACTCGTTGATGTAAAAAAAGACGACGGTTTCGCTGCTATGCATTTAGCTGCGCTTAATGGCCATGCGAATGTTGTAGAGACGTTAGTCAAAGAAGGACAAGCGAACATCGACATACGGAATAATCGACGTCAAACACCTTTTCTTTTAGCAGTATCTCAAGGCCATGTTGCAGTCATTGAAAAACTTGTTAATTTGGGCTGCGACGTTACCGCAAGAGATGAGGATGGCGACAATGCTATGCACTTATGTGTGGTTAAGAAAAATAATATTCTACAAGCTTCAGAACCAACTATAGCAGATTCACCTGAAATATTTGCGATTTATGAAAGTTTATCTTATATACATGAGGACCGGCTCATGTACACATTATTATGCTATTTACATCGGTTGGGCTGTCAAATAGAGTATAATAATAAAGGTGTTAATATATTTGAATGGATTACAGATGTAAAACATAAACAACTTATATTATCGCACCAACGACCTGCTCCAATACCACCCGTTGATGGAAACAATTCTTCGACATCCACTAGTGATGTTTCACCTGCAATTGAGCAAATTGCGCACAACATACATTTAATGTGTTTAAAAACAAACATTCAACATGGACCCAGATCTGTTGAACCACCAGAATCTTTGAGTGAAACATTATCAATAGAATCGACATTAAATTCACAAGCAACAAGCAATAATTTAATAAAAACTCCACCACATAATGACGCAACCAATGTTGCTTGCTATGCCAAAAAACAGTCGACAGTAGTAGATAATATATTTGCTCACTCCTCACAACAAGATCAAGTTGCATTCATATCTACAACTTCTATCCCCAATTCGTGTATAGTATGTGATGAAAATTTGCCTTTAATTAAATTTGAACCCTGTCAGCACCAAATATCATGTGAAGACTGCGGGAAACGAATGAAGAAGTGTTTGCGTTGCGCTGTTCATATTGAAAAACGTGTTGATGAAAATGGTCGTATTTTAGCAAATTCCGATTCTAGTACTATTCCCGCTGTAGAACGCCTTCGATACTTGGAAAATAAAATTCTTGAATATGAAGAGTCGCACTATTGTAGCATCTGTATGGAAAGAATTCGGGATGTTGCTTTTCTATGTGGACATGGATCATGTTCAAGATGTGCCGAAACCTTACGCATATGTCATATGTGTCGAAAAACTATTTTAAAAAAAATTAATCTTTATTAAATTTTAGGACTGCAGTATGTACTTCTCAAATGTTTGCGAACACAGATCAAAATTACACCTACAAATTTAGAATCATAACTACTGGAAATCTGTATAATAAAATAAAAATATTTTAAACTACATTATACATTTTTTATACGAAATTTGTGAAATAGTGAATTAAGAGAACAAATTTGACAGTTGTGTTACTGAGCATTTGCATATTCTTACAAGAAAAAATTACACAGTAAAATTTTTCCTGTAACACAACGCAATTTGTTTTCAAGCTAATTTTATTCTGATTTTGTATTATATAAATTAAAATGGATAAAGAAAGCGTAAGTAAAAACAAGTTGGGCAACTCTGGAATGGATAACGTGTGGAAGTTAAAGTCGTCGCGGAAAATTTAATAAATTAATTGATAAAACAGCGAAAAGTGCCTGAGTGGCCTTTAAATGTTATTGAATTTAATAGTTGGACATTAAATTAATGGTGTTTGCGCAGTTTTCACTCAAATTATATGAATTTACACATTTACTGTCTAAATCGTTGAAGTGGTTGGATGTAAAAAAGGAAAGAAAGAGAAGAAAAAAAGGAAAATAATCGTAATAATTTGTGATTGCCGTCCAAATATATACTAAAGGTCACACTTTGTTGAATTGTGAATACATACTTTAAGACATAAATTGGATCTGTATGCTGTATAATTTCTGTGGATGCCATTGATTTTTACAATATTTCTGTTGCCAGTACTGATTTTGGTTATTGCTGCTTTGTTCATAGCTTGTTGTTGCTGTTACCATATGATTATGGCTCCCATGAAAAAAGTGTATAAATGTCCAAAGTGCAATATCACTGTTACGGGAAACAGTATTGGTTGCTCTGTTTGTGACGGTTTTTTTCATATTGCTTGCCTAAAGATTACTAAGGAGCAACATGCATTTTAGTATAAAAACAAAAAATGTTTGTTTAAATGCACAAAACGCAATGATTGCAATTCTAATGATAGCACCGCTGTTTCTAATGTCAATAATAGCTCATCACCTACCAATAATAATATAAATATGACAGATGAACTCCGCAAGTGCTTTCCCGATTTCAGCAGCTCTCTGGAGACACAGCATGAGAATTATAAAATTGAACTGATTGGGCAAATAAAAGCTTTTGAAGAAAAGTACGTATTGTTGATGCTCTTCGGGAGGAAGTTAATTCCAAATTTATGAAATTTGACCAGGAACTTAAAAGTTGTTATGATATGGCTAAAAGTTTAGATACATGACGATGTAAAGAAATAAGACAACTACATATCCAGCATGATGTAATGCAAAGAAGATTGAATAGAGCCAATGTGATGGTTAATGGATTACCCGATAGAATTAAAGATCTCAGACAACCAATACTAAAAATTGCTTACTTATGTGTTTTAGATTTATTTCCCCTCGGCATACAACATTGTTGCTATTTTTTAAATGGGAAATCGGTATTAATAAAATTCAACTCGATTTATGTTCGTGATACTTTAATGGCGCAATATCACAAAGGAGGCACTCTTTATCTACGGGATGTCACTGGTGATGACGTAGGCAGCAGAGTTTTTCTAAATGACCATCATAATTCAACTTCTTCCAAATTAATATAGGGTAAGTGCACCAATAGTCGGCACTTTAAGAATTTTCGCTTTTTAAACGTTTCACCATTCCAAGTGCATCTTTTCCACGATATTGTATTTAGGTTCATCTGTTTCGAAATTTTTACTTTCCGATGGAATACAAATTTGTTTAATTAACTTGTATTAAAGTAGATTGAATTAATAATTATGTAAAATAATGCCTTTGTGCCAATAGTCGGCACATTTTTCCAATTGTCGGCATGTTATGTTCCAATAGTCGGCACGTCACATTTTAGTTAAACAAAAATTATATATTTAATTGATTTTTCTGCTATTTGCAATAATAAATTATTACTATGGGACGTTTCCATCAGTGTTGTATTGAAAAAGTTATATAAAATGATATTATTTATTAAAATATTAGAATTATAAAACATGGTGCCGACATTGGGAACCTGTTATACAATTCTCGGCATGGCTAAATAAGGCATTTCAGAGGTTAAAAGTATTTGAGATTAAAATCGTGTCTTCTAATATATAAAACACTCAAAACTATTTTTTTTATAAAATAATCGTTATTTAGAGGATTTATTTAACATTTTTTTTTTCATTTTGAGCCAAAATGATCGAAAAGGTGCTTATTATTCACCCATATGCCGACTTTAGGAAAACTTTAAAATGTTTTGTTCCTAAGGTTGGCATCGATAAAAATATCATTATTAGAAATATTTTTTAATGATTTTAAATTCTAAAGTATTCTCCTCTATGTTCTTTACAATTATGAAGGAGATCCTTGTGAAAAAATATAATTTTAATATAGTTACAAGTCTTTTGAAATCGTCATGCCCACTATTTTATTTCTTAAGAAACATGAATTATAGCTAGTGTTGACAAACCTCATTGACAAAATGCCAATTTTTGACTGAATAAATGAACTTAGCTCGATTTAATTTTATACAGAGACAGATTGCAGTGTCATTGAAGATTATTCAAGGTATTTTTCATATTTAGTTATAGAATTTTGTAGTTATTTGAAGTTATATAAAACAGATGCCGACTATTGGTACATGCCGGAACTAGGTGCGTTTACCCTATCTATCTATCTTCTATATATATAAAAATTACGTGTATATTCGTGATCACTAAACTCAAAAACTATTGCACCGATTTTGACAAAATTGTATGTACAGACACTATGGGGCGTGAGGAGTATTTCTGTGTAGTTTGAAGTTCATCCGACAGATGGCGCAATATTTAGTTTTTTTATGTTTTTGCAACGTAACTCAAGAACTACTGTACCGATTTTGACCAAATTGTATGTACAGGCTCCAAGGTGCGTAAGAAGTGTTTCTGTGTAGTTTGAAGTTCATCCAACAGACGACTCCGTATTTATTAATTTGTGTTTTTGCACCGTAACTCAAGAACCACTGCAATCGACGTTAAGTATTTCGACACCAATTCATACATAATCTGTCTTCGTGAAAAGCGCGTGGGAGTCAAACGAAAAAAAAATATACAAATGATGTTAACAATGTATAGCAACTTATTAATTGAGAACGGCGGGACAGATTTGACAAGAGTTTTTATGAAAAAAAAATTTTTTTTTGAGAAAAATACGCGAAAATCTTGAAAAATATATTTTGAAGAAACGGCTGGACCTTCCATTATGTGGGACATATACCATAAAGTACTATACCGACAGCTTACAGTTACTTCCTTACCCTACATGAAATACATAATTAAAGGCAATTTATAGTGTAATAGCAGACCCGGCAAACATTGTTTTGCCCTATCAGCATCAATTTAGCACCCAATCTCTAATAGGGCAAAACGCAAATAAACTATATAGCGCGCCATCTGTGGGACGAACTTAAAATTAAACAGAAACGCTTCTCACGCCCGATAGAGCAAATACATAAAATTTGGTCAAAATCGGTGCAGTAGTTCTTGAGTTACGTTGCAAAAACACAAAAAACTAAATATTGCGCCATCTGTCGGATGAACTTCTAACTACACAGAAACACTTCTCACGCCCCATAGTGCGGTACATACAATTTGGGCATTAGATGCTCTAGGTGTCTAACTTATATGTGATTTTATTGTTCCTCAAATATATTTTTCATGATGTGAAAAATGTTTCCATTGATAACGACTGCACCAATTTGACTCACATTTTCTTAAGGTTGTTTTATAACTCAAGAACGTCTGCACCAATTCTGATGATTCCAACGACTTATGAATCGTATGTGATCAAAATATGAATTGTAATTACGCCATCTTTACTTATGTTTGGTGGAATAAGTTCCACCAATTTTTAAAATGAAATACCATACATACTGACATAATTTAATAGTTAACCATAAAAATATTACTTAACACATTCCCCACTAATAAATAGATGTTTTAATAAAAACAATAAACTGGGATTAAGCCTGTGCAAAAACAAAACATTACTTAATATATCGGGGTATCAGTAAATAAAGGTTTACCGTTACGAGGAAAATATTATGCGTATTTTTTTATTGCGGAAATTTGACATAAATTAAATGGTAAAACGTTTCTGAAATATATTTTTCATGCATTCGTTAATTTTTACAAAACCTAGATTGATGCAATTCTGATAGGGCAAAACAACGTTTGCCGGGTCTGCTAGTCTTTTTTTCATAAATATATTTATCACTTACTATCAGACCTGGTAAACGTTGTTTTGCCCTATCAGAATTGCATCAATCTAGGTTTTGTAAAAATTAACGAATGCATGAAAAATATATTTCAGAAACTTTTTAACAAAATATACATTTTTCAAGATTTTCGCGTATTTTTCTCAATTTTTTTTTTTTCACAAAAACTCTTAGTCAAATCGGTCCCGCCGTTCTCAATTAATAAGTTGCTATACATTGTTAACATCATTTGTATATTTTTTTTTCGTTTGACTCCCACGCGCTTTTCACGAAGACAGATTATGTATGAATTGGTCGAAATACTTAACGTCGTTTGCAGTGGTTCTTGAGTTACGGTGCAAAAAGACAAATAAATAAATACTGCGCCGTCTGTTGGATGAACTTCAAACTACACAGAAACACTTCTTACGCACCTTGGAGCCTGTACATACAATTCGGACAAAATCGGTGCAGAAGTTCTTGAATTACGTGCAGAAACACAAAAAAAAACTAAATATTGCGCCATCTGTCGGATGAACTTCAAACTACACAGAAACACTCCTCACGCCCCATAGTGTCTGTACATACAATTTTGTCAAAATCGGTGCAGTAGTTTTTGAGTTTAGCGATCACGAACATACACGTAATTTTTATATATATAGAGATAGAGATAGAGATGTTTTTGTAGTCAGTTTCCTTTAAATTTATTAGCAAAAAAATTCCGCACAAAATGTCATCTCATTCTCCCACGC